TTTTTTTTTTTTTTTAATAAAAAAATAAATGCAGTTTTGTTATAATTCGATGGTGAATCTGTAGGAATGCGTATCTCGTTTTTGGGCGCAGGAGACTTTGTGTCATACTGCATTTTACTCATGTAAATCTACTTGACGTCATTTCTTGAAAACTTCGGTGATTTCTTTTCTTATTATTATACAATTATTTTCCTTCTGCGGTGGTTTCTTTTTTTTTTTTTTTTTTTTTNTTTTTTTTTTTTTTTTTTTTTTTTTTTTTTTTTTTTTTTTTTTTTAATAAAAAAATAAATGCAGTTTTGTTATAATTCGATGGTGAATCTGTAGGAATGCGTATCTCGTTTTTGGGCGCAGGAGACTTTCTATCATACTGCATTTTACTCATGTAAATCTACTTGACGTCATTTCTTGAAAACTTCGGTGATTTCTTTTCTCTGTGTGCAGAATATCCTGTGAAAACGTCAGGCCAAGATTTTCGTTTGGTTCCCTTTTAAAAGATAAAATAAGGACATAGATTTCGAAACACCTCAACCGCGCTATGCATTTTTACAGCTTCATCATCAATTTGTGACAAGTGTAAGATTTCAGCATATATCTTATGTCATTCTTCTCACGTTTTAGGAGGAAAGAACGAAATTAATCGAAACCGACGTTCCAAGTCTTTGGCCAAATGGGGTTGTGTATTATGTTTTTGAGGAGAGTGAGGTTGACGAATACCATCGGAATTTAGTGAGAGCGGCTCTTCGTACCATGGAACAGTACTCGTGCGTCAGGTTCAAGGAAAGCTCAGCGCATAGACCTCATCTGCGCGTCAGAAATATCGGCGAAGGGTAATAGCTTTTGGCGCATTTAAAATTGATAATTGGCTGCTGCTCGGCGCCGAAGCTCATAAAAATCTCTTAGCATTTATTAAAAGTTTAGATGAGGGAGCATGAGAAATTTCAGAGCCCTGAAACCAACTGAATAAAACTGAACGGCTGCATGTTATTTTCCGGCGAAGGATTTTTAATTATGTAACTATACGTTATTTTGCACCAAAGTGGTCCTCAGTCAAGGTGTTGGTGCATCGGATCGAATTAAGCCTCTAAATTTCTGGCGTTTTAAACCTAGGTACTAAAATTTACGTCTATCAAAACAAAAATGTGTTGATAGTGAGCACCAATACCTTACTACATTAGCAAGTTGCAAGTTACAAGTTACGTAGCGTAGCGACGGCGGTAAAATTTCGCAAATACGGGCACGTACTTCGATGCGGATGTTTCAAAATTTCCACCCCTCCTATTTTTTTTTAACTTATTACCAGAAATTCTTACAAGGAAGTTTAGAGAATAATAATGAAAAGGCACGTAAAAATAACACGTAATTTTGGGTCACCAGTCATCATGCAAAGTAAAGTTGAAATGAAGCTAGATGCACTCATCCATAGTTTTGCCGTTGATATATTAAAAAAGACAATCATTCTCTAAATATAAGCTCTATGTAAGATACCGAAAAATTTGGTAGTCAATACCGAGAGTTTTAGTTTGAAAGCCGGAACTTTATCAGTTTAAATTGAATGAATGATCTTCTCTATGTGGGTGAGGGTTAGTTTCATCACCAGACTTAATTACTAAATGAAGGTGAAAACCATCATCGAAATTTTTTGTTCATGTTTAAATTTAGGTGTGCCTCGGTCATTGGTTACCAGAGGGATGAACAAAGCCAGGACTTATACCTAAGTGGTGAAGCATGTTACACTCAAGGATCCATCCAACACGAGTTCCTCCACTCTCTCGGATTTGGCCACGAACACACCCGCCCTGACAGAGACTCATATGTCAATATTCAATGGTCGAATATCGTCCCGGGTGAGAACTCTACTTTTTTACGGTTTTGTCATAGTTTCTTTTAATAAAAAAAAAAAAAAAAAAAAAAGCGTTTTTTAGCTTGTGTGAGACGAACACTAAAGTGCATCAAAAAATGCATCCCACAATTCTGACGGAAAAAATCTCTGATTATTGTTGCTTATTTAAAATGAAACTGACCAAAATATCTACAAACAATTTTCTGTGAATAGTTTTGAACCAGTTAAAGTGAACTCGCAGAATATAAAAAACGATCAGACTATACGTCCAGTGCTCGGAGATGTTTATTTTTTTCTCCCTACAAAATAACAGCTTGCACGAGAATTTTTGGAATATCCAAAATAATTACTTGGCTTTATGAGGTATTTTGCGTGGTTACGTGCATATACGTGATTTTGTAGTTTGACCTTGGGTAAAGGTCTGGTAAAGTGAAGAGTGACTCCTTACCCAGTGAGTGAACACGTCGACTCGATTTCCACTATAACTTCCAAGTGTGCTCGTTTAAGTCTACACAGACGGTCCATCCAGGGGAGTGTAAAAAGCTCTCATTGTTCGGTCCTCAGGGCTCTTATCAAAAGGTCCAATATAAATCCAGACAGACATTCAAAGAATGAGGAAAAGAGCAATATTTCCTGGTGTATCCGTTATTTAATTTTTTCACTACCCTCTTTCTCATATCCCTCGATGTCTCTGAACTCGAATCCCTGTATGCTTGTTAACCTGTCAAAAGAATCCAAAATAACTCTCAGACAAAGTTCGAGATTGCATTAGCTGTTTTCCGAGGAACATGTAAGCACTTGATATCACGTATTCTCGTCCGTACCTCTCACGCTGTTGTCAAACTTGTTCAAAATTTGCCGAATTCCATAACAACCACTTAAGGTGATTCGACGGTTGCCATTTATCGTGTCAGAGCGACATGCGATATATCGCATCGATTTGGTTCCATTTTTTTAGCTACTCGTCATTTTTCTGCAATTTTGAGATCGCAATTCTGTTATCAGGAGACTAAAGCACTCGCTTGCCAATTTTACCAAAGAAATTCGACGTAATAAAGGCGTGGTTTGTTTAGAGAGAATACATCGCATTCAATACAGATATCGAAACTGCACTCGAATGCGATATTTTCTCTCTAAAAAAATCACGCCTTTAGTACGTTGAATTTCTTTGTAAAAATTGGTAAGTGAGTGCTTTAGTCTCCTGAAAACAGAATTGCGATCTCAAAATTTGAGAAAAACGACGAGTAGCTGAAAAAATGGAACCAATTGATGCGATATATCGCACGTCGCTCTGACACAAAATATGGCGTCCATCGAATCACCTTAAGAGCATTCATGATGGAATCCGGCTGCAGTGTCCTCGAGAAAAAAAACTTAAATCCTCGCTAATAACAACCTGCCTTGTTTATCGATTTAATCAGTTTCCTTTATCGTGTTTCGGATGGCAGGGGCCGAAATCAATTTCACGAAACGGAGGGTTCGCTGGGTGACGGATCTGCTCCCTTACGACTATCAGAGCGTGATGCATTATCGGCCAGACGCCTTCAAGAGAGACATCTCGAGTCTGACAGTCGTCCCACGTCAACCTGGTGCCATCGCGCTCATCGGTCAAAGGATTCAGCTCAGCAGACTGGATGTGGAAAAACTCAATTTGCTCTACGGTTGCTATAAATACGCCGCGATTCCGCAAATATCCTAGGCTAAAAAACCAAGCTCGAGAACTGCTTCCTTTTCCTGTATTGCACACCCAAGTAGTACTGATTGCAATAAATTGCAATTATATGTGGTAAAATTATTGCTACTGCATCGGAGTGTTGTGGGTGTTGCCTATCTACTAATTGACGGCAAATGAATTATTGAAATTTTTTGCAAAAAATTGAAATGAGTTGCAATTTTTCATTGCACTGCATACTGCATATTGCCTATCTTGTTGGCACATGGAATTCGCTTTGTTGATTGTTGGAAATCGGCATATTTTAACCAAATTATGTAAAAATATTGAAATTTCATGGTTGAAAAAAAAAAAATATATTTCAATATTTTCATTGCACTGCCAAATTCAAATCTACTTATATTGCATGAGTTTTCGGTATTGACCAATAGTTTCCTTGTCACTCAATACTCTACTTCTTCTAAAAATAGTGAAAACTTGTTTACTTGAAGGGATTTTATGATAGATTCAAGACGAATATCATCCGATTGAAACTGACGTATAATGTTTCATTCATCGCGGTACGGGTCGATAATCGCATCGACTTTTTTATTGGGTTAAATTTTCCTCGAAACAAGCACCGAAGATATTGACTTTTGTCCTTTCTTCTGGCAAAATTGAAAGCTTTCATAAATATAAACTGATTGAAAATTGCTTGCTTGCTATCAACTTACCCGATTTGACTGACTTAGCGCCTTCTTCCCATGTTGCCTTCATTCGTTATATATGAAGATTTTTTGAGCTATACCGTTCTATGGAACTCCTAATTTTATTTATATTAATTCATTTATTTACTCATTTTTTTTATCATTGTTTAATTGTTGGTAAATTCATTAAATGATCTCCCAGTCATTTGTGTTGGAAGAAGAGTGAATTTTTTGTCTCCAAACTCACGGGTGCATGCTCAACTCTGCCGTTCTAGGGAAGAACGCCGTACGGACATTCGACAGTTGCCAAATTTCCTTTGATAAATGTTTATTTTTGAGGAAAGTAATGAATGTTTTTCCTCGAAAATTTTACACACTTCAGAATAAATTACAAAATTATCAGAGAAATTGGCAGAAAAATTATATAAAATTTTCCTGGAAATCAGTGATTTGCCATAGAAAATTTGGCAACTCCTGAAGGCTCGCACGGCGTTTACGGCGTTTTCCCTTAGTACGGCAGAACTGCTCAACCCCAATTAATACGGAAGAAATTAGCTGCACAGGCTGGTTTCATTTTGTACTTATTTACAAACCACTTTGAAGAAAAGTGCGCTCGATCTGCGTACGGTGGTCTGAAACAAATAATAAATAAGTAAATAAATAAATATTGTTTCAATCTGTGAAAATCTCCGGATCGAAATTTTATTGATTATTGTCTATTCATGGAAATGTGTCAAATCTCTGCCGTATGAACTTGATCTTCCAGGGGTGCCGCGCAAATTCCCTCAACATTGGTGAAAGAATCTTTACATGGTATCCAGAGTGAAACTTTTGCAACCCCTCTGTCCTCTCTATAGTCGGTCCTCGCTCCCTCGCGTCCCTGTTTTGGTCCTCTCTCTACACGTGATTGATCACAGAGAGAAGAAAAATAACGTGACCACGCTTAATCAACCTTACAGAGGTGAGGTCATGCAGATCAAGGTGGGGGAGGAGGAAAATGAAGGGGTGGAAAGGCTGTGGCAGGAATAAAAGTTCCGAGATTCAAGTACATGCATGTGTATACGTCAAAATGATATTGTTGATTTATCAGCATCCTTTCAGACATGAGGCAAAATTTTACGAGCAGCTCCATGACACGTATACTGTATAATTATAATAAAATAATATGGAGCATGGAAAATAGGACCAAAAATGGATGGTGTTATCAGATTTTTTTTTCTCTGATCCCTCATGTGGGTTTTTTCTGTATTGATTTTTATACATTTCGTAGATGTTGTAATTTCACTCTTATTGAGTATGAGTAGTGGTTGGCCAAAATGTTTGGCTTCAATGCATTTCATTTTAGCCTGTTTCAAGTGATCCATTTTATTTTAATATCTTTTTATTCTAGATAATGCTATTTTCAATGCTATTGGGATTTTTTTTAAGAGAAAGAAATGAAATAAAAGGAATCTGAAGACGTTTTCAAAACAAGCAGAACTCCGAGATTAATAAAATTACAAACTCACTCATCATCCAAGGGCTCGTTGAAAGTAAGATTAGCGTGAGGTTGTTCATAAACTGCAATCACGTATCTATGCATTCCTGCGTAATTGAAAAATAATAAAAAAGGGCGAAAAACAAGAGCAATGCCTATATAGTTTTGTGTTCATTTTAATAAACCCGTATTCCTTCTCTCCTTTCTTTTTTTCGCCTATCCCTTTGGAGGCATCTCGTCGGAGTCTTATTAAGTAACCTCACTGGCTGTTCAAAATTGTTTAATTGTGTAAGCACAAGAGATTATAGATCAAGTCAAAATGTAAGAAAAATTATTATCACTGGAATGTTATCATTCAAGAAGGATATTTTCGTAAAACAGTGGGTATCAGAGAAGCATGTACGCGCATGCAAAGACAGAGAGATCTTATCATAAGACATTTCCATAACCAGAGTGCGAAACCCATTACTGCCGTTTGCGAAGTTGCAGACTTCTTGTCATACTTTATTTTTTCTTCGGGAAACTAGTCAAAGTAATCTCTTGAAAACTTCCTCGATTATTTTTCTTTGTTAAAGGAATATTTTGTTTACAATTTGAAGCTATAAAGTCAACATGTTTCTCCTCGAAAAAATAAAATAGGAGGGGAAATGAAACATTATACGTGGTCACCCACTTTGGCCGTCGACAGAGGCGAGGAGACCATAAAAAACGATTCCCATCTATCAGATATGTTAAGTTCTCATCTCCTTCATTTTTTATGATAAAAATAATGGATAGTATTCCCTAAAAAGACAGGACACGTTGAAAATCTTTACGGGAAACATTGGGCCTGAATGGGCCTTAAAAAACTCCGTGTTACCTTTCAATTTTCTGAAATTGTTCTGCTGTGGTTTTTGGTATGGAACAACTCTTCTACAGACATTTCTATTTACATCTTGCACGTCCATTATGATCCAATGCAGCCATTCTGCATGTATGTTATCTTCAGGTTCAGGATTGTCCGGGTCTGTGAAAGTCACAAAGTTAAATGAATAACATTAAAAAATGACTCTTAACATATCCCGGGTTATTAGCAGAACTGTAGATATTTTTTAAAGCAAAAGAGAGGCACGCGACGAAAAACATTAACAAGTAACAAAAAGGAATTTTGAAAATTTCCCTACATTTATAAAATATTGGGCATTCCTAAAAATTTAAATCTTCATGGAAAATACTGATGTAGAGAAAATACGACACCACATCTCCCTCCCCAGTATGCCACGATTTTTACCTGTCTCAAATCACTGACGGTCATGAATTATGCCCGCATCGTTAAACGCGAAAATCAAGCGCGAGACTATTCGAAATTCGATGTAGGTATGTGATGTGGTATCACGCGAAAATGAAGGGACATTTTAGCCTTTCACTTGTCTCAAATTACTGAAGTTTATGAATGTAGGCACTCTGCCCGCAACATTAAATTTGGAAATCCAGCGCGCAGCTATTGGCACTCGCACTCCAGAGCCTATTCTGGACGTGATGACTATTCTATATGTGATATGGTATCACGCGAGAATGAAGGAAAATCTTATCTTTTCACTTGACTCTTACTGACCACTGTGGATGTAAGTCACCATGTTTGCTCGATTGATGGATGCAGAAATTCAGCGTGCAATTATTGGGACTCCGGAGCATGTATGTGATGTGGTATCATGCGAAAATGAAGGAAAAACCTAGGGAAGTTGATGTTGAAGAATCAATGTTGACATTGCGTTTTGATCATTGAATAAGGATGGAAAAAAGTAATAAGTAATGAGTAAGGAGTAAGTAGTGAATGTATTAATGCATCATTAAATTTTGCAAACAAAGGAAGAAGTAACTTTCAAAAGCATTACCTGTCATTACAATTGTGTAGTATTTATGCTTGTCTGATGGCCAACCTACAAACATAGGTTCTTCTTTAACTCGGAAAGGCACTAAAATATTTCCATACTGAACATGGTCATTTTCAAAAAGAATCTGGAAAACAAAACTTCACCTGAGTACACCTGCTCTATCACGTTTCATTGTGACTATTTTTAATCAAAGTATTACAGTGAAGATCAGAAAAATGAGAGATATTTCTTTCTTTACTAATGATTGAGCGGGCAGACTCAGCTCCAATAAATCAAGATTTTCGTCATCGAGTTCTGTCCAAATTGCAGCCCAAATATAGATTCCTTTGTGACACGCATAACAAAGATTCTTGATACAATAATTTCAAACCCTTTTTTTTTCGTCAATTATATTCATGAAATCTGAATAAACCTACATTTTAAGTATCTCTTTTATCATCAGCACAAGGTAATGACATACGTGCATGAAAATGTACTCATTAATAAATATACCTACCTGATTCTAGTCCAAGAAAAATATTAATAAAACTCTTTTTTTAAAAAAATCGTGTGGAGGCAATACTTTTTTGTTTGATGATTGGAGAAAATATAAACTGCTTAAAAGTTTAAAAAACAAAACAAACAAAAAATCGAGAAGTAGGGTCTCACTTTAAGATTATACTGCACTCCCTGAGAAATAACGTCAGGAATAACTTTGCTATCGGTCAAATTTTTATTCCAGTCGAAATCCTCATCTTCGTCGGAGTCATGAACAACGTCATGAAGAGGGTCATAAGTAGTGGTGATTTTTTCAGCCAAGGTCCGCATTATATGTGCCAGTCCAATTGAAAGTGCAGCATTAACTACCAGATTGCTTCTCGACGCACTATTCCGTTTAGTTTTACAAATATTCAATCCTTTATCCATAGTGGCCGTATTATTGTCTGTCAACAAAAGTATACCCACACTTTTACTTATTTTAGAAATTAAAGATTCTAGTAATCCAAAATTCTCGCTCTTAATTTCAAGATCAAAACACTGCAATCTTCCAGAAACATTTTACGGAAACATTTTGATTTAAGTTCACGTTTATACCTGGCTGTAGCTAAAACAGAGGAATTTCATTTTCATCGCAACTTTCTAGTTCCCCTGATAGCTTAATTAAAAAATGAATCTTTTAGAAAGTTTCTATAAATAGTTTTAGATGCATCAAAAAATGGTTGGTTAGTTTGGTTTTCTTAAAAAAAAAGAGAAAATACTAGTTAGCAGAAATTTGTAATTTGGAGAAACGCCTTATTCTTTTTAAGCTATTGTTATGCCTTTTTGTGGTTCTGGTCGTGTCCATACTTTGAATTACGTCCTCGTGTTTTTTTATTTTGTCAATTATTATACTACATTTTCTTGTAATATGATATCCGCTCGTCCTATCCCTCTGTGTAACTTGTCAAAATGTAAAAAATTGTCTGTGTTTTCACAGACATATATCTGTACCGCAGGCATTTAGCGGTCGCCGATACTTATTTTGCAAATGACTTGTAGGTTGCCCGGCAAATCATATCAATAATTCATGCCGAAACTGCGGGTTCAATCGTCAGAGGATTTTAAAGGCCCGGAACCATTTCAGAGTGCCTTCGATTCCTTTCCTTCGAAGCTCTACGTTTTGACACACAATTAGTTTACTTGCCTACACGACCCAAATCAAAATAAGGACTAGTTTAACTACACTCACAAGGAAATGTGCCAGCGGCTATTGCGTATTCGATGGAAAAAGTCGTTTATTTCCATTAGGGCAGAATAATAAGAATGTTCTTTTTATATCTCTTTGATTCTGAATTATACATCAATGGTTTCATCTCATGAGGATTGCAAAATACCAGCGATTATCGGTTGTCTGCGATACCTGCATCCTGCATCCTGCATCTGGAGCGCATCGTTCCAAACGCTTCTCGCAGGGGTTGTATGTAAATAAGACATTTTTATTAATAGAATCAACTTTGGAGAGTAATTTTCACTCTGTTGTTGTGATACAAATTGAAAATTCGCACATGAGAGGAAAGCACTAAAGTTATAAACAGTCATTGAACGAGTAAAAAATACTTAATTGCATGTAAATTGAGATTACCTTTTCACCGTCCTTAACTCTCATAAGTGAGTATATATCGAGCAGGAATCAAAATTTTCGAGACAAAACATTTTTTAAAAGAGGGGACTCAAAAATTGACCGGGCTTTACATGAAGGCAATGCGTTCTGTCAGAGCAACGCTCATCTCACACGGAGAGTCTACGAGCTCTTATCAATTGTACCTAATTGTATTTCTTGATCACGCACCGACGCAGATGAAACTGTTATGTCCTGCTTCTTATGGGGCCCGTATGGTCCCCTCCCAGAAATTTTTAAAAGCAAACGAATCTATGCTTTCCCCACTTTGAATAGGTACATAGAACACGAGACATAGCATCCTTTTTGCCATCCCCCCTCCCCCTCCCCTTCCTCTCCTAGATCGACTCGATTTTCTCGTCAATGGTTGTATAATAATATTTTTAGGGTCTTTTTTGTTTCACTTGACTTCGAGGTACCTATGCCATTTTTATGTATTGTGAGCGGTAATACGAGTTTCATGCCAACTGACCGACTGCGATGCGTTTGGTGCAATGCGCAAAGTATTTATGCTATCTTGCATGCGCTATGCATGCGCGCCACGCTGACCGCACTGTTTAGCGCAATGTGTGAAGTATTCCTACAGTCTGGCAGGCGCTAATATGCGTTCAACGCCGGCCGCACTGTGGCTAGCGCGATTGTTCGAACTCGCGATAATCGCGGTATCGAATAATGGGGCTTTAAAGGCTCACATTGACAGTTTTGACGCCGTATAAGCATTCCAGCATTGCTTCATTTCACCCGATAAAATATTTTTTCCGAGAAAAGTTAGGAAGTTCTCTATGTTTTTTTTTTTTT